ACTGCCAATCCCTTTGTCCTCCAATACTCCCTGCCCGCTTACTAATGTTGTGTTCATTTCCTGAAAGCACCACTTTTATCACACACTAATCAAAAGCATTCAATGACCCCTTAATGCCAACAACTCAAAATCCAAACTCCTCAGGCTGCCATTCAAGATCACTTACAATCTTTGTCTCCTTACCTCTCAAAACCTCTTTTTCTCCACTCCCTCACCCAGCTGTTCTACACTAGCCTCTTGGGTTTACTCTCTATCCCTCAAACTTACCTTTATTTCACCATATAAAGTATATGCTAGAGTTAGTTAGATGGCACAGTGGGTAGAGCACTGGGCTTGAAGTCAGGAAGACCTGAGTTCAAATCTGGTCTCAAATATCTATTAGCTGTATGACTCTGGGCAAGTCACTTAAGTCTACCTCAGGTTTCTTAACTGTAATCACAATAGCACCTCCCATGACTGTTGTAAGGATCAAATAAAATAATATTTGTAATGCACTTAGCACAGTGCCTAGCAACTCTGTGCTCACAATATTCTCTTTGTAGGAAATTATTTTCCCTTTTTCACCATCTCTGCCTCTATAAAATAATATTAAGTAATATCATTAGGAAGATAGGGGGAATAGAGGGGAACAGTTGTCAAGAAAGGCCTTTCGTAGGAAGTGACATCTGAGCTGTGATTTGAAGGAATCCAGCAACACTGAGTCAGAGTCTGGGAAAAGGATCAAATGTTTAAAGGCCAGGACACAGAACAAAAGCACACAATATAGCAAGTTTCAATCAATCAAATGAAAACCCTACCAGTTCAAAAGTAGACACTCCCAAGCAGTCCTACCTTTGAAAGAATTATGACTGATTTGAGAAAAATGTGTCCAAATAAACTGTGGGAAGCCAAGAACAAACACTGAAAGTTGTCAAATATTCAGGTACACAGGTGATGGCAAAATAAAATAAAATGCACACTAACATGTTTGTATTTTAAAATTTCTCTGCCACTCTTTCACAAGTGCGTGTTCATTTTGAGGAATAGGATGAAAGGATTCAGTTTCAAATATCGTGACATTTTATATCGTCATTTCTTAAATGCTTCTGAAATACCAAAAGATCACATGCTCAAGGAACATTCGAAAGGCCAATTGTGCAGATCAGGAACAAAATTAAACTTGGAAAGATATTTATGAGAAAAAGCAGAGGGGTCCCTCTCTCCTATTCATTCTTCTAATGAAGAGAAGGCCTCTGCATAATAAAAAGATTATACGGTCAGAAATAAGGTTTTTATAATTTTCATGAGGTACCTATAAATGAAAAAAAAAAAAAACAAAAACAAAACAAAACCCAAGAATCCAAAGAATCAGCAGAAAAGATTCTCAGCCTGTGTTAGTAGTAGGTTATACTTTGCTTTCTTTTTTCTAGATTGGGTGAAAACATGAAATCTAGTATTATTAAAAGCACTAATATTTTTATTAGTTTTTTTTTTATTAGTTTTTTTTTATTATTTTATAGTTTATTCCAAGAGGGTAGATAGTATCTAATTAGTGGTACTTAGAGCTGATTTAAGTTTCTAGGAGACATTCCCATGGGAACTATAGAATATTTCACAGTAGAAAGTTTATGCTATGCATCTCAATCATGGCTCTTATTAATGCTGTATCATTGAAGCCAAGCTAAGTCTCCTCTTTGCCAATCTAGTTTCAGATATGTTACTTTAATTTTTTTATCAAGTACTTCTTAATTAGATTAAATACCTATTTTTAGTGTGCATAGGTAAAATAGCTAGGAAAACAGTGATTCAGCCAGACTGACAGTAAGGGCAGGGATGGTGGTAATTGGATTTTAGATCTTTTGACATGCTTATACGCTTTCTTCAAAAGCTTTTTGCCCCTTTGGGAAGTATAAAATCTCCCCCACCCCACCTTGCTGAAGGACTGCCAAAACTGGGGTATTTACCAGGAGAAATACAAGGATATACATACTTAGATGTCTGTTAATAGTTCCCCTGGGAAAAGACTTGGTTAGATTTCTCTCCACTCACCAGAATAAAGGCACCCAATTGGCCTCTTTAAATTTTGAAATAAATATTCTCATTCTGACTTTTTAAATGTTGTATATCACCTGGTCAGCACTGAAGAGGCAGTATGATGTAGTTGATAGGACAATGGTTATGTAAACAGGAAAAATTGTATTTGAATCCCCCTCAGATTTTTGCTAGTTGTGTGACCCAGGGACAAATTTTTAATTGCTCTCAGCCCCAATTTCCTCATATATAAAATCAGAATGATAATTATGGTACCTCATTCACAAGAAAGTTGCGAGGATCAAATGAGATAATGTATGTAAAGTGTTATGCAAATCTGAAACGGCTATCTAAATGACAATTATGTGAAATAACAACTGAGATTAATTTGGAGTTTTCACTTGGAGCAGCAGAACAGAGCTGTGACATTTGGCATGAGTCAATCAACATAACACTCCTGTCCCAAGTCAAAAGTTCCAAATAGAAATGCCAAATGTGTAGGTTCTTTCTTATGTTTACATGATATATATGGACACATGCACATACTATACACAGTTGCTACATGTGATACGTCAATGACCTGAAAAAGTTAATATAGCTTCTCAAGCTGCTTAATTTGTCCCCCGGGAGAATCTACTGAACTGCTAAAAATCATGTTCAATATACTTGCCTGGCTAACATGCCTCTCTTTCAGATCCCTACAGGATAGTATCTAGCTCATGCAAATATTTCGACTAATATACCATCTTAAGACTGCAAAAACATGAGTGAGTGAGTGAGTGAATGAATGAATGAATGAATGAAAAGGCATTGCTATTTATCAGGCACAATTTTGCACATGATTCCAACATTTAATTAAAATGATTCATTAGTTCAACTGGTAAGACTCTCTGTCCTAAAGCCAACAGTATTTTGTTTGTTCTTTGAAAAATATGCTCTAGGTCTGATAACTATGGGGATAAGTCAATGTTCTAGGAATCAGGACATTAGGATTCTGGTCCTGACTGCCATTAAGTAGCTTTGTACTCATAGGCAATGTACCTAATTCTCTGAGCTTCAGTTTACTCTTTGGTTAAACTGGAGAAAATCCTTTGAAAAGAATAAAAACTATAGAAACGTAATCTATGTTATAGATTCCTAACATTTTTATACTTTTTTTAACTTATGGTTTAAAATGAAAAAAAAATCTCTTTAAAAACTAAGAAATAAACTCCACTTATTCAGAAGAAATTTACAATGAGAGTTTTGATGAATTGTCCCATCTGTTCATATGAGGTTTTAAGGGAACTGTCTTATAAATTTTGCTCTATGACATTATGTTCGCTTAGTTAAGTTACTCCTGCAGTTGTAAATAGGATATGACTTACTAAATCTCCCCAAGAGATAATTTTAAGCATGAAAGGGTGCTTTTAGGGTCCTCTTTATGATAAAGAGGTGTCTCAATCTTTTCATCATATATATTCAATCAGTCTTACTTCTTCCCTACTGGAGTCTCTGGCCACAAATTTCCTGTAGTTAATGGTGGTGATGTCACCTTAGTAATCCACAGGACGCACATAAATGGTTTGCAAATTTTCAGTCTGGTCAGTGTTTGAAACATTAAGAAGTTTACATGCCACATTGAACATTGTGACCCTAATGGAAAACATGAGGATGTAGTCTTTCTGAAAGAACCAGAAAAAGGACTTTTGTAGGCACTGATTGTCAGCAGTGTCTTTACACAGATTATCACCAATTCCTAGAATACTCTCCCTCCCAACCTCTGCCTCTTGGAATTCCTGGCTTCCTTCAAGACTTGAGCACCATTTTCTTTGTAGGATGAACAACAACAAGGTCTTTCCTGGTCCTGTACAACTGCAAATGCTTTCCCCCTACATTTAGCTTTGCACTATGGCAATCTTGTATATACTTATATGTGTAGGTTTAAGTGTCCCAATTAATAGAGGACTGAGCTTGAAGTTAGAAAGACTAATCTTTCTGAGTTCAAATCTGGCCTTGGATGCTTCCTAGCTGTGTGGACCCTGGGCAAGTCATTTAACTGTGTATGCCTCAGTTTCCTCATCTGTACAATAAACTGGAGAAGGAAATGGCAAATCACTCCAGTATCTCTGCCAAGTAAACCCCAAATAGAGTCATGAAGAGTTGGACATGACCCTGAACAGTTTCACATTTGTGTTTGTATCCCCATTGCCGAGGACAGTGCTTGACATGTAGTAGACACAATAAAAGTTTGTTCATTGATTGATTACTAAAAACAAAATAAAATTCCAAGGAGTGTAAGGTGAACTAGAAAGTATTTCACTTGACTTTCCATAGCCAAATATTCTCTGGCTACTTACTTTACTCCTATTATCAATCATAGATTGACAGGAAAGTAAAAAAAAAGTAGTTGTTTCTGTTCCCTAAAGCTTTTCATTCTTGTTTTAGGGAAATCAGAAAGCCCAATCAACCTCTTTTTTTTTTTCTCCCTGGTGAATTAATGTAATGACATGCTTTTATTTTTTAATAAATCTTAGATTAATATCAGTACAGTACTAACAAATACAGTTTCAATTCCTAAATACTCCTTATTCTCACTAATCACAAAAGTCATTTGCTGAACTTGGTTGGTAAGATCTAATAAGTTGTTTCAGGCTCAGTGCTTTTTCCCATCTTGTTTCCCAAAACAAGATGTAGGTATATTCCTTGGTTACATATTGGAACCCAGTTATCAGCTACAGAATCAAAAACAGTTCTCCAGAATTTATTAGGGCAAATACTTCTTTACCTAATGCACTATGACACGTTGTAGTCTGTATTGATGAATAAATATTTAACCTACAAGACAAAAGATTAATCAAGGATCAGTAACAAAAAGCTAGAGTCAAAATCTTCTGTGATTAAGATGAATTCCTTTTCAGATAATTTGCAAAAAATCTGGATTTCTTTTCTTAAATATTTTTTTTCTATTCGAATTTTTATTTCTTCAAGTAAAGGGCCAAAAAAATTACCTGGGAGAGGGTCTTGGCCTGAAATCAAAGTAGGAAGTTCCACACAGTCCTCTTCATTCGGTCTAAACCAGCAGTCAAAAATCAACCACATTTCCAGGGCAGTACCTGTATGCTTCAGGTTCACTGTGTCTAAATGCCAAGATTTGTTCAGCCGGGTGGATGTTCCTGACACCTGAAGCTTATAAAGTGATCCAAGGCCCTCAAGTTCATCCTGGGAAAAAATAATTTGTCAAATGTTTCTTCATTCCCGAACTCTGCTCATCAATTTTGAGCTGCATTTGGAATTCAACATTTATTAGAATCAAAATACACACACACATGTAAGTCATATATTCATATGCACATCTATGTACATATAAGGGCAGGCATGAACACATATCTGCACGTATAAATGAGACATTTTGTTGTTGTTCAGTTGTTTCAGTTGTATCCAACACTTTGTGATCCCATTTGAGGTTTGGTTGTTGTTTTATTTTGTTTTGTTTTTGCAAAGATACTGGAATGATTTGCCATTTCCTTCTCCAGTTCATTTTATAGACGAGGAAGCTGAGGCAAACAGGTTTAAGCAACTTGTCTAGGGTTACACAGCTAGTAAGTGCCTGAGACCAGATTTGAACTCAGGAAGATGAGTCCTTCTGACTCCAAACCCAATATTCTATCCACTGTGCCACCTATCTGACCATCTGCTGAAACTACCTTGTATTTATTTTGAGAGGCAGCCATGATATAGTGAATAGAGAGATGGCTTCAGAGCTACAAAAAATAATGTGAACCTAGATAAGAAAATATTATAAAATCATATAAACATAGTGTGCTACAGTGGAAAGATTGATGAGCATAGAGTCAGAGAAACCTGTGTGACACCAGTAAAGGAAATTAACTATCAAATGCCTAGCACATGTCTACTACATGATAGTCTGGTTATGAATTGTCTTAGTGGAGGGAAAGCAACCACAGTAATGAAATCTAGGTCTCTAAACTGTATATGAGAGTCACCGAAGTAGTAAGATCACTTTTTTTCTTTTGATTTGAAAAAAACAATTACTCACACTTTTATAAGGCTTTAAGGTTTACAAAACACTACCTTTACAACAAATTTGTGAACTAAGTAATGCAAGTATTACTGTCTTCATTTTACAGATGAGGAAACAGTCTTAGGCAAGTTAGTTAAGCAACTTGCCCAGTCACATAGCTAATATGTAGGTGTCAGAACCAGAATTCAAACTCAGGTCTTTTCTGACTCTTAAGCCCATGTTCTTTCCACCATATCATTCCACTTAACTTTGAAAAATATTTACCAAAATAAGCAAGGCCCTTGAATTTTAATGCCAGTTAATTTATAATTGTTACTGTTCCAGAATTGCCAAGTGGTAGAGTCTTCAATCAGGGAGATATATTGCAAAGGCAGGGAGTGAATGCTAATTAATTCAAAGGGGTACATGAGATGCTTGATTAGAAACTTTTATATTTAAGTAATTTGGAAAGTCTTCTTGGTAAAATCCACTTAGTTTCTTACCTGCCTACTCAAAACTGCACAGAGTAATACCCTATTTTTTCAGTCCTAGATATCTCAAAGTACTCCTTCTCAGAAATCACTTAGAGTTTTCAGATTGATAATATAAGGTTTTCCAGTCTACATTGATAATTCTGAATACCTATTACTTGGTAATAAAATTCTAGTAAATAAAATTCTGGAAATAAGATTTTGGTATTAAGAGTCCCAAATTCTGAGGAACATTTTTGTTTCAAAGTAAGGCAATGATCTCTGAAGAATTCTGAGTATTCATCAATAGGAGGAAAAAGAGAAAATGAGCTTATAAACCAAATAACCTGTTCATTCCTCTCAACCCCTCCCAAATATCTACAAGCAATCAGGTTTGCATGTTCTGTTCCTGAAAAGGCACACTTGGAGGGTGTTCTATTCTCCAGTGTCTTTCTGTACATTGTAAAACTAAACTGAAATATCTCATCATTAAAATCATTTTTGTTCAAAAGAGGTGGTTTTGGGTTCTTCTAGCTCTGTTCACTAGGGAAGGCTCTCCTTGGTTATTTTCCATGATGCTAAAGTAACCTGTCAATTCAGTCAAAATATTAATCAAACCAGTTGTCTGGTGTCATGGAGACAGTCTCCGTGTGGCAGCAAAGGGGATTTAAGGCAAAAGGAGGAGACAAAGACACATCTGGCAGGGAAAGGAAAAGAACTAGGAGGAGAAGATTAAATGTGAATCAGAACATCCCTCAGCATGGTCACCAGAGCCTTAATAATTGTAAGACAATGATTTCACCAAGAGTTAGTGGAATTCTCACTCTAACAAAATGTTTTGTTGATAAGAAAAGGGTAAAATACTTTGATTTGTGCTTCATTTTCTGTCATGTGAAGTGCCAACTTTTTGTGATTCAGATGTCCATAAAAGACTAGGGCAAGTTCTATTGTCTCTTCTTTGGTGCTCAACCCAGATCCAGTGATGTCCACTATCCATGAACCAGGGGAATGCCCATTGATCAGGGGCTGCCCAGGGCTACAAATCAGTCTTTTCCCTTAAAAAAAAAAAGATGATCAAATGAGAAAAGAAAACACAAGGGAAAATCATAATACAGTTGAACCAGAGACTGTACACTACAGAGTATAAACAAAACTCTATTTGCAGGTTATGCTGTATCTATGGCAACAGTTACTCAGAAGAGAGCAATGTAGTATTGCTTTTATTTCTGAAGGGATGCAACATTTGAGTGTTCTTATGTGTTTTAAACTTTAGCTTTCAAGTGTTTTTTTTTCCTTGTTGTCAAGTTGTTTTTACTTTTCCTTTTGAAAATTATTTACTGGAGGGCATGAACCATCCCTAAAATTAGTCTTAGAAAACCATCAATAGAAGAGAAACTTACCATATCACTTCAAAACACTGTCTACTTAAGCAGAATTAGGATTTATTTTATTAACTTTTATAGCATTTGTTACCTTGGTGTCCGGTTACTATTTTAAAACTCTACAAGTAACCTAGAGTAGGCCCTAGCCCAAGGGTTTTTAACCTTTTCGGTGTCATGAACCCCTTTATCAGTCTGGAGAAGCCTGTAGACTCCTCAGAAGAATGGTTTTTTAAGATAAATCAAGAAAAACACATAGGTTTGCAAATGAAAGCAATTACATTGAGATAAGGTTATGAAAAAAAAAATTAAACAAGTTCATAGACCACAGATTAAGAAACCCTGTCTTCAAATAACAACTCATCATAGGAGAAAGAATTTATGTCAAGCTCTTCCCTTCAAAATAGCAAAGGAAAGGAATTGCAAACGAGAAATTGTGAAAACACACACACACACACACATACATTAAAATGACTACTGTACTCAGTTCAGTGAGTATGGAATATCTAGCTAATTCATTCAAACTAGCCACTGACTGCTTACCAAACTATTATTCACAGTATTTAGAGACACCAAGAAAGGGTCCTTGGAATTGACTGTTCTTTTCAATCAAAATAACAGAGTTAATTAATATGCTTGGAAGTGGTCTCTTATTATTGGCATTAATTGGCCATGGCAGCTCTAAATAATGGGAGGTTCTCTAAAGGCCTCTGATGACCCAGAATTTCATTAGAGATGAATGAGAAGTTGGTGCTCAGTTTTGAGGTTCTACAGCTTTCTGTTCTTTTCTTGACTTCTTCCTCTGAGGGAGAACAGCTACTGCCAAAGAAAGCCTTTCTGACCTTCAAGGTTAGCCTTATAAAGAGAGTACAGCCCCGAATATCACCTTATTGTGATGCAGTCTGCATTCCAACCACTACTACAAAGGCAAAGATGATTCAGGAAGAAATCTAAGCTACTTGGCATACTGTTCAGATCCTACAGTCTTAGATACTTATCATTATTTTCCCCCCAAGAGTTAAAAGGCTCGGTTAGTTCTGACTATTCTATATTTAATAATCATTTGAATAATCAGAGCACTATGTGGAAAATTAATGTGATAGTAATACAAGGAACAAATGCCATTGCTCAATTTATGAGCATAAAAGTAAACTGTGCCTCACCTAGCAAAATGAGTACATTAATAGGAAACACAACATAGAAATCTAGAACTCTAGGTTGTCAGACACCTCAGGGTATTTGATTCAGACCTACCTACTTAGGAAGGTCCCATGGAATTGCCACTAATATCAATTTCAGAATATTCAACCATGTGGCTTTGAAAGTGCATTAGCACACTTGTAATATGACACCAGGCAAATTGTTTAATCTTGCTTAGACTTAGTTTCTTCATCTAATGTAACACTGGGCAAATTGTTTAATCTTGCTTAGACTTAGTTTCTTCATCTAATGTGCAAATAACACCACTGCCTAGTCCACAGGGTTGGTTGTGATGATATTATGATGTAATATATGTGAGACTACTTTAAAAATGTTGAAGTACTATAGCAATGTATTTTATCAACTTTATTGTCATTATTGTTAATAGTGTCATCATTATTTGATGCATTTCTTTTTAAAGGGGTTCAAATAGAAATGGTACAAGAAGAAGTAGCTATTCTGCTATTATTCTTTCATATTTAATATTTTGTTAATTAAAGCACATGTGAATAAAATGTGAATTTTATTATTTTGCTAGAGTATGAATGTGGGAGCTGAGTAGCTTGCCACCTATAGAGGCAACTATCTCAGTTGGCAGGTAGCAGGCTACTCAGTTCCTATACTCATACTCATACTCGACCAAAACCATCAAATTCACATAATACTAAATAATCAAGAAATCCAATGAAAAACTACAGAAAGTGACCTCTTCTACCTTGGTAACTCTGTAAAAGTTAGTTGGACCCAGGCCAGGCATGCCAGGACCAACTCAGAGTAGCTGTACCATGTAACCAGAGATGGCCAGGGACACATGTAGCCTACAATGTTCTGTGTCCAGAAGCACCAAGAACGAAGAAAGCCCTCACATGGGACCTTGGGAGACCAATAGAGTGGTAGATGGAAGTGTCCAATACAGAGATGACCACACCAACATGGGGGCCCATCTCTCACATCAGGCCTCTGTAACTGAGAAACCATATGAGGCAGTTTGAATCTCAATTTTGCCTCAAAAGGAGGACAAACTCCAGGACGTAGCAGTCAGTGCAAAATAAGTGACCCAGGCTGAGATCAAATGGGGCCTACTACTTATACCAAGAACACAGCAGAGGGCCTAAAACAAAGTCGCAGTTCAGGGACAAAAGCTGAAGAGATGAGTAAATAAAGAACACCAATCAGCATGAAAAATTATTGCTAATCTAACTCCATAACAACTGCAAGCAGAGACTTAAGGAAAAATGAATTTTTCACAAGAACTACATCAATAACCAGGGGAAAAAATGAAGCAAGAGTTGGTTTTTTTTGTTTGTTTGCTTTTTGTTTTTGCTTTTTTTTAAATGAAAGAAATCCCTTGAGGACAAGATTGGAAAGACAATAAAGAGTTTAGAGAAGAAAGTAGCAAACTTTACGTAGGTAACAAACTCCCTGAAAACTAGAATAGACAAAACAGAAATCAATGATTTCGTGAGATAACAAAAAATGTTATAACCAAATGAAAAGATTGGGGGAAAAAATGAAAGAAAATTTGACCTGATATAAAAAAAAACTGTCCTGAGAAATAGGCAAGAGAGAGATAATTTAAGGACCATTGGACTCCCCAAAACTATGATTTTGAGCATCATAAATTAATAAATCATGAATAAAACTATACATACATTAGTACCAGAGAACAAAGTAAAAATGAAAATAATCTACTAATAATTTCCTAAAAGTCAGTTAGACCGCAGACAACAAAGTAGTATACTGGATAGAGTTCTGGACTTGAAGTCAGGAAAACCTGAATTCAAATCTTACCTCAGGCACTGAGCAGGTGTATGACCCTGGAAAAATAACTTTAATATCCTTCAGTCTCAGTTTTCTCATCTGTAAAATTGAGCTATGATAGTATCTACCACACAAGTTGTTGTGAGGATCAAATAAGATAACATATGTAAAGTACTCTGTAAACCTTAGGCTCTATGTAAATGATAGCTCCTGAAAGAAACCTCAAAAGGAAAAATGTTTGGCCAAAATCTAAAGCTCTCACATCAAAGAAAAAAATCCAAGTAACCACAAAGAAGTGATCCAAATACCAAAAAAAAAAAAAAAAAAATAGGATCACACAAGTCCTACTATAAATGAAAAGAGATCTTGGAACATAGTATTGTAAAAGGCAGAAGAGATAGCTTTACAACTAAGAATAACTTACTCTGAAATTTGAGTATAATTTCTATTAAAAAGGGATTTTTAATGAAAGAGAGATCTTTTAAGCATTTATGATGATCAAAGATAAGTAGGAAATATGACATGTACACATAATAGCCCAGAGAAATTTGAGAAGATAAATTTATTTGAACAATTGGAAGAAGCTGTATGATACAGTGCTGACATTGTAATAGGGGAAAAGAAACAAATGTCTTTTCAAAGCCTTAATATCTTCAAGCATATTTATGGAGTTAAGAAATTTAAAAAAAAAAAGAAATATAGACCCTGGTTGGAATGTATATATCTGTGGGGAGATGGGAAGGTGGAATTGTTTCTGTACTTAGGATTTAAAAGGGAAAAGAGAGGGTAAAAAGAAGAACACATTTGTGCAAAGGGATGAAGAAGGGGGTGGAGGCTGATGCTAGAAAAAATTGGAGAAAGGTTGGGCATCATGAATTTCACTCTTATTTGAAAAAGACCAAGGAGTGTTGCATGCACACATATATGCACACAATCAGTTTGCATAGGAAAGCATTCAGTTCAACATGGAAGCATATGTGGATGTGACAGGCAAGTCAAGAGGAAGGACAGCACAAGGGAGGCAATAGTAATAAACAAAATAAACTTCTTGACCCTGAAGAGGATATTAAAGGGGGTAAAACAACAGAAAACAACTAGATTCTAAGGGAGTTACCTTAGATTTCCTACTAATAACTGGGGAATGACTGAACAAATTGTACATAAATGTATGAGTGGGATGAATATTATTGCATTGTAAGAAATTATGAAAGAAGATTTCAGAGAATCCTGGGGAGTATGAACTGACAGAGTGAAGTGATCAGAGCCAGGAGGATAATTTATATAAGGACAAAGAACAAAACAAAACAAAAATGTTAAGTCTAAAGAATTATGACCAAAGCAATGACTGACCAGTCATACCTCCAGGAGACCTATGATCAGGCACATTCCCCAGTTCAGTTAGAAAAGTAATAGACACAAGGTACAGAGAAATACACTTTTGGAGTTGGCCACTGCATGGGTTCATTTTACTTGACTGTGCATATTTGTTATAAGGTTTGAGGGTTTTTTTCCCACTTCTTCTTGGTTGGGATGGGGTGGTTGTCTAGAGGTAACAATGGGTAGGGGTGGAAAGGATTGTCAAGGAATAACAATAGCTAAAGACCATTATAACCTTTTTAAATGCACAAAAGAAAACAGAAGGAAATTCAGAAGGAAACACGAGAAGCAGAAGTTTTTAAATTAACATAGAGAGTTTGTTATTTTTTAAAAAGCAT